AGATTACTCTAATCCCTTCCTACAGCCAGAATGCGGAGAAAATACTTAAAAAAAGAGTCAAGGTAAGACACATCACACTTGGGTTTCTGCCATGTGCATTTGCTAACAGTAAAGAGTCTTCACAATTGGTTGCATGTCACCACTTGCATACAAGATGGTGATAGGTCATGGGAACAAAGAGGACACATTTGATATGCCACTTGATGATGTGCCACTCGACTCCCTTAGGCTATTGGTAATTGCAGACTCGAGGTGGGATTTTCAGATTCCTCCTTTCCTGAGAATTGATCTGGCCTACTTTCATAGATGCAGATGTACTAGACTCCCAGGCTGAAACAGTCTATCCACAGAAGTCCCTGTGTTAGATAAACCAGTTGCACAAGCATAAACTAGCATGAAAGCCTTTATGATTACAAGTAGAACTCTTGTAGTTAAAATGTTGTGCTGTAAGTGTGAAACTGTACGCAAATAGCTATTCTTTTCACCTTTTTTTTTATCATCACTGACTCAAGTTTTGATTTTTTTGTGGATGAAACAGTGATTGAAGGATATTTCTAGGAAAGACACATTCATGCTTCCAAAAGGGACAATTAAAACTAAGTAGCAAGGAGCTGCAGAAGCAGAGAAGGTGGTTGTCCAACTCCATTTTGAAGAAAAGTGACGGGTGGAGCGCAGGGAGAAGAGCTATCATACTGAATACAAAAAAAAGTGATGTGATGGTCTGAAATTGTACTGGGCTAGGAAAACTATTCCTTCCTATCAATATCTTTTAAACTCTGCCACTCATTGCCATTCTGCTACCTTTGCCACTAAACTAAGAGCAGAGTATTTATGAATTGCAATGAAGAAAGCAACCACTTCCTTGTTATTCTTGAGACTTATCTGAGAAGATGAGAATTGAAAGTAAAGGGGGTAAGTTATTTAGGAACAGATAGGGTGCTGAAGTCAAGGCAGAACTTGTCGCACTACAGGATTCCCTTAGACAATGCATATCAAACCAGAAGTTTCCTTTTCTTTCTGCCATTACCTCCACAACTGTTCATCTAAACACACCATAGATTGATCCACATCAGAAAACCTGACCAGCTGGGGGAAAGGAGGTGGAGAACAACTCACACCTCAGGAAGCAGAGTGTTTCCTGTTGTCCATGTTCACTGCATATCCTCATGCAGACACAATGTGGGGACAGGAATCAGAGCAAGCATGGACTTCTACTTCAGCTGCTACCACCACCTAAGAAGTGCACCTGGAAATCACAGCCTCAGAATGAAAACTGGTTCCTGCCAAGCCTGCACATGGAACATGAAAATTCAAGGGTGTAATTTCAAAATGCCTTTAACCACTGCTACTATGAGAAGTAGCTATTCTCCATCTCTTCCACCTGACTGTTCATTCATATCCCCAGGTCACCTTCCTTTTCTTGCTTGCATAAATAGAGGTGTGGAAAGGAGAACAAATAGCAGTTGTATTTTTTTTTACTTCCATACTGGATCAGTTTCAACTTGAATCAGCTCCCTGATCTGATTCACTGTCTGGCCATGCAAATGCTCATGGCAGTATAATCAAAAACTTTGCAGGGACAGAACAAAAGGCCAGAGGTAGCAATAGAGCAGGACCAATACTTTCAAAGATTGTATCAGCTTAAAGGTGTTTGCAAATCCAAGCTCTAAGAATGTAAATGTTTTCATCTCAGACACTTAATGCTTGATGTGGAAAAGCCCACAGGAGAATTGGAAAAAATTAGAAAGTGATGACTTTGCCTGCAGATATATGAAATAAAGTGGACTAATAGTTACATGTTATTTTCGGTATTGCCTTGAGTTTCTAACCATGTTATTTAGCAAAATCAGTAAATGTTAGCAAATAAGCTAAAGTAGATGAACACATGAGAACAAGGTATGCAATAATGATTATAGGAGTCAACTGCATAAGTCATAAAATCTTTGGACTTTCCTAAACCACAGTAATAAAGATCCTGCACAAAAACTCCTCAGGCGCTGCCCACTAAATAATATCCTTTCAGTCATCCTCTAACAAATGGGGCTACTGAAGAATAGGGTAAGCATTTAAGTTCTTACAGTATTAGCTACCCACATCATATGCATGTTCTGCCTTGCCAGATGGCCTGTAATCTGGTCTCTCTTGAAGCTGAAAGCATCACATTAAATCTCCTAATTGGGGTAAGGTAATATATTCATAAAGTAATGACCTCAGTCAGTGCTTCTCAAAGTGGGTTATATTATCCAAAAGGATCATGAGAAAGCTTTAGGGCTGTTGAAAAACCCAAACTGCATTTGGGGGCAAAAGAAAAAAAATTAAATATAGAAAATATAGAAAATGTGAGATAAAACTAAATTATCCTTAAACATATTGACACCAAAAGAATCTGAGGGATTTTTCTATATTTGCACACTGCTAACAGACAATTCTTAACCCTTTGCAGAAGAGAAGAGTAGGCTTTTCTCAGGTTTATGTGAGAGAAGAGAAGGAAAAAGATCAAGACAAAGAATTGCACAGATGAGGAAAATACTTTGAAAAAAATAAAATGTATATTGATTTACATATTTTTTGAAAAAAATTACTTTCTACAAATTCAGTAGACGTTTTAGAACTTTGCCAGGTGCAGTTTAATACTGCTTTCTCTAAATTATTGGGAGTTCCATCAATATCCACTGCAGTAAGTACCTATCTGATAAATGGAAAGTCCACCCTTACCATTTTCAACCTCAAATTTTTACAGAAAAGGAGGGAAAAACCTTCAGTAACAACCTGCTCCTCAGCTCACTGGGTTGGTCTGAGAAATGTAACAAAATTGGAGCCATCATAGTAAAACTGGTCCAAGTCCTGTGGACAACCTTAAACTTCACAGTTGGAACAAAAGTAGCTTTGTAGAGAGGCAAACAGTAGGAACAACTCTAGAAAAGCAAATGAGAAAAAGGACAGATAAGGGAGAAGCTATTCAGAATAATTAATTATGGGATGCAAAAGGAGAGAATCAGTAGACCTTTCCTCAAACATTTTGCTGAAATAAATCCAGCCAAATGGCAGTGAACATGAAGCATCATTAGTCACCTCTCCCTGCCTAACACATGGGAGCAGATTTCTTCCCAAGGTGCTATCCCTCAAGCTGCTACTTATGAGTCCTGAAATTCTTCTTTATCCAACCTGTTTTTCAGGCATCTATCTATTTGTTCTTTCTCCTAGCAGTAGGTATGTTTTTTCTCCCCCATTTGGCTTCTTTGTCCAGTAGCAGAGAGAATTAACAAAACTACTTTCAAAAGAGTAAGTCTTCCATGTTCTAATATAGCTGCTCTCCTGACAAGGAATTTTAACAGTTCAAATCCAAAAAAGCATACTCAGCACATCTGACTTATTACAAAACTAAAAAAGCACTAAACAGACACAAAAACTGTTTCCTAGAAAGGCTTTTCTCCACTAATTTCAAATTACCTCCATACCAGAGATTTCAATAGCATCAAAACATTGCATGCACCCTAGTCAGAAGAAGTTATAATCTCCATATCTTGCACATCAAACAAATGACCTACTTGTAAGATCCTTAGGCAGTTTACCACCCAGCAACTGAAGAGTACTCTCACAAAAAACATTGTGCAAAATACAGTGTACAAAACTAAAATTCACCACTTTATAAAATAAGTTTCACTGAAATTGCTATAAAGGAATATACATATTAATATAAGAGGAATCAAGTGCACTGAACAGTGGATGTATATTAAGTATATGGATATACAATTAAGTATACCAAAAATTCAAACCATTAATAGCTCCTAATATTCAGGAATTCACCTTCAATGCACAGGAGTAACATTTAAGAGTAAAGAAAGCATTTAAATTATTTCTAAAAAAAAGGTAACAAAGCTACAAGAGGTTTTCAGAACTGATTAAAAATTTTGAACACACATTAACTAAAAAGAGCATAATTATCAGAGCACACTGATCTGAAAACACTCTCAAAACACCCAGAAATGCAACTGGCCTCTCAAAATTTTACAGGTGTATACCCCATAATTTTGGCCTAGGCAGAAGTTAGAGACAAGTTTAAGATGAAAATCTCATTTAGATTCAGAAGAAAACCCTTTTGAATTCAGTCAAGGATGCTTGTATGTTTAAAAGTTCCTCTCATTGTAAAGCAGGGCTGTAAGAGCACAAATGAGGTTATTGGGTGGGATTCAGGTCTATATTAGGTGTCTATCCGCAGGTGCTCAACAAGTACACCTGATATCTAATGTCCCATTTTAATTATCAGAGCTCTAGTCCAACTCAACCAAAGGAGGTTAAATCATCTCATCAGCAAAGCAGACACCCAGCCAGTCAGCTACATCACCTTTTACATTACTCCAGCTGAACTGGCTAGAGAGTACTGACTGGAAAAACAGCTTAGACAAGGCAGGGTAGATTCACTTGCCCATACATTTGAGATGCCATTCAGAAGGTCACCTGCCTCTTACTGTCCATGCCACATTTATGGACCTTGTGCAGTTGCCTCTGCTAATTTTAAGCATCTGAAATAGCTGTAGATACTTTGTAATTTTTAGGTAAGTACAGGTACTGCTAGCACAGATGCAGGTACCTAGATTCAGGTGTTGATCTCAAATAGAATCTTTGCCATTGTGCTGTTTCTGGGAAAGACTATTTCTGGGAAAATAGAAAAACATATCAATACGGAGTAATAAATGTATAAAGAGAAAATATAAATGCTTTCAGGAATATATTCATTTCAATAGGTCTAAATACCATTGTATTTCATGTTTTGCTAGTTTTACATGGTTTAGACATAATCACCATGCAATTAAAAATATACATAGAAACAGATGTAGCCATTTTCTACCAGCAGATTTTCTTGCAAGCATTATAAAGCAAATAATGCTATACCAAAGGCAAATTTTCCCCAGTATTTCTATTCTAATCAAGAATTCTGAGCCTAACCAAGATGAGTGGCCTTTTATAATCAACATGGCAAAAAAGTAAGAAATACTTACGGTTTATGTGATCAATATAGTATACACCAATCTGAGGGTCATACGTGGCTTCCCATCCCCATGGCAATTCATCCCCAACACAATCCGCAAATGACAAGGGCTTTGTTAACCTACAACAAGGAAACAATTCAGTGATATAGCTTTTCTCTCTTCCATATAGGTTTGTTATTCCTATTTTTATTATTTATTAATTATTATTATTAATTATTAATTTAATCTTTATTTTATTAATTCCTATTATGACAGAAGCTAAGGAAACATAGCAGGGAAAAAGGAGAGCAAGTTTTTTTCCCCTCTTAAAGTATTACTTCAAACATTTTTCAGTACAGGAATTCAAGTGAGAAATCCACTGCAACACCCTTCACATCTGACAGTCTAAAAATAAACAACAACCAACAGCTTAAAAAAAAATAAATTCCTATTTGTCCCCGTGAAAACTGCTTGAGTTGGTGAAGAGAGCGCAAGATTTCAAGATCAGTGTTTCTAATGACCAGAGACAGGGAAGTGAGAAAAGAGAATACAACCACCTAAGATGCAGTTAGCAGCACTTATCAATCCCTGCACTTGAATAAAACAAGCAGCAGTGTGTTCAGGGTTGACATTTTATAAGTAACATTTAATGGGCTTTAGATATTCACATGGTGCTTTTGTAGAAAGACAGATAATTAAAGTTTTTTCACTTTAATAATAGAGCACCTATTTGATATAAGAACTAGAGTGATAAATATAATACATGGGCTCTTTTCCAACTGAGGCTGAGCAAAGCTTTATGTGATCATCTTTTGGTCCTTTTTTTTAAAAAATAAATTATTATTGAGTTTCCTGTTGATAAATCCACAGATAAATGCCATCTCTAACATAGTGATATATCTAATAGGAAGAAAAAGCAATTTAAGGTTTTATTGTCACCATAGTGACAGTAAGATTAAGTAGATATCTAGAGTTAAAAAAAAAAAAATCCTCAGAGTGACATGATGAAGACCAGTTTGTGGGACACACAAGCAGCACTCCTTTACTCACTGCTGACTGTTTTATCACCTAAGACTGTTTTTTCATCTCACCATTAAAATTCTACACAAATAAAAAGCTAATTCATGTTTTTCAGGATTTTTTCTTTATTAATTCCTTGCCAAAAGGAAGAGGTTTATTGACACTTTACTGAGAAGAGAAAGAGAAAACAATAGTACATTTTACCTCTTACAAACTAAATTGGATTTTGTGTACAAAACACCAGATAAAAAGCACTTTACAAAAAAACTGAATTCTTTATGCAGCTGAAAAAAATAAATTTAAGCACGAATTTGATTTAGAAATCATTGTCCCACTATTATTTTTATTATCATCATCATCAATGGATATGATCTACCAATTCCTTAAGTTGAATAGTATTCCTCCAAGCTAGGGTTGCAGAAATCACAAAGAATAAGGCTCTTAGGATTCAAAACATTTTTAAATTGCAAGCTGGAATCAACTTCCTCATATTTCTCCAAAGTTTACATCATAATCCTGTGAAGGTCACTAACACTGTATTTGAGGTTCTGAACAAATTTGTAAGTATAACACAAATTCCCTAATTTATTGCCAAAGTATAACACAAATTCCCTAATTTATTGCCATTTATAAACTGCTATGTTAAACCACTAAACACACCAAAAACTACTATAAAATACAGATGAAATTACCAATGTGGTCATTTTTGGATCACTAGGTGACCTGGTTTAGGGCATATACAAAAACATGGATTATAAGTAGCACAAGTAGGTTGTCAACTTGACAGTGATTTCCAGTGAAGAGGAGGTCTATAGCAAGCTAAGCCAGTGTATTGTATCCTCTCACGCTGCTGACCTGCCTTTTTAAATCCAGACACTGGCACCGCTCTGAGTGGGGCTGCTCCAAGGACTCTCCAGAAGCCCCAGCTCTGACCTGCCACCTTGCTCCTCCTCTCTGGGCAGCAGAAGCTGTGCTGCCATGGCCAGGATCCAGCTGTGCAGCTCAGCAGGCCAACAGCTGGCTGGCCTGCTGTTTGCAGCTGCCTAGTGCCGCTGTACCACGTACACCTGCCCAAATGCTGCCTGCTCACAATTACCAGCACCACTTCAAAGATTACTGCTTTGTTGTAAATAGTAATTGCTAGAGAGAAAGGGGTGGCTCTTAGGGAAGCAGGAGAAGCCTTCCAAATGCAGGATAAACACAGGCACAATTTCAGGCAGGCAGCATGCAGCAGACTGAACACAGGGCATCTGTGTCACAGTTCCCAGGCCACTAATGCTCAGAGGAAGCATCAATCATGTAAAAGCAACAGTGCTTTGCTGAGTCTGGTTAGTCATGAGAACAAGATGTGCCAACTACAAGGGCACACCTACATGTGAAGAAAGGCCTGTCTCAAATTTGATTACATGTGTAGATGTATGTGAAACAAACTGAATAAAATTAAAGTTCAGTGTCATCCTTAGCCTTCACATTATAATATTAACTCAAAATTCAATTCATGTAGTTCAAGAAGAAAAAATATTTGAAATGCCTTTTAGCAACATAGAAATCCTAATATGAATTCAAAATATAAACAGAGCCAGATGGTTTTTAATAAACATTCAATACTTTCACCAAAGTTACACACCACAGCCAGCAACAGTCATGACGTGATTTTTAGATCACCTCCACAGGAGGGATATAAGCCCAGTACAACCCTGACTTTTCATCTGCACTCTACACCAATTTTACTTTTAATAAAATATTTCTTACTATAAATAGCACATTCTCTAGGTTAGACTGCAGTCAACTCTGATCATGCAAATATTCCATCCAGGTGTTCTCACCTGTCCAAAACAAGATACCATGGGAATGAATAACAGCCATCCTCTCATCCCAGACACTCCATAAATTAAAGAGACACTAAAAAACTGTAGAAAAGTACTTGAGTGATCCACACTAGACCTTAAACAAAATGAGAAGAGGGAGACAGAGGTCCAAAAAGAGAGGCAGCATAGCACGATTTGTTTTATGAATTCTGCTTCGCCAGATCATGCTTGGACATCACATCCTTAAGATCTGAACTATGTCAGAACTGTTCCAGAGTAGATTTTTAAAACATAAGAAGGTTTGTACATAATAAGATCACAACTACTTAAGAGGGTAACATTTCCATTACTCCCTTTTTTGTTCCAGAGTCCTTAATAACACACCATTTTTGAGCCTGATGTGTCATTTTACAACTGAGCAGCAATCAGCACAGGGTGATTGATACCTAATTGCTTATGGCCCTCAGAACTGCCTCAACATAACCGCTATTTACTTTCAAAATACTTATGACAAATGGATGAAATTAACACAACATGAAGCAAGAGAAAATCTGCAAGACAAAAGCAGAGAGTTACAAGATATAATTGGACAGGAAATAATATCTAGGAACAGGGACTGAAGGAATCTTGTCTGTGTGAAGATCATTATCTGTGACATAGTAACCTATGATAGATGAACTGGCATTACAGTCATTAAACATGAACCAAGAAAAATGAGGTTTATTACACCATAATAGAGGATTAAGTGCTGCATGTCTTGGGCACTGATATTCTGAGAGTTCATAACACTGTTTCAGTTTGTAGCCATACATTTACATGTTCTTAAAAGAATGTCAATACTCTAAAAAGGATGACATCAAAGTTCACATTTAGTATCCAATGAAGTTCAATTAGCCAAAAAAAGGCTTGGATTTCTTTAATGCATATCATTAAGCTCAAGTATTCTCACCTAGGGACTCCTTTTTCTTTAACCTTAGTGAGCAAGGGGCAGGTGTAGGTATGGAGAAGTGGCTATTTTAAGGAAAACCAGGAAGCGTTCTGCAATTCCATTATATAAACAATGCATGATTATGTCAATCACTTCACAGGTACTTGGGGAGACTTAGGAGGCAAATACAGTTTACCAATTGAAAATCTCTATTATCATAACAAATCCACAGTTTTCTTTCAAGTTTTCAAAACACGGGGTTAGCTAGCTAAGCTCTTAAAATGCAGATTCTGCAATGATATACGTGTTATCATTAACAGTTGTTCTTGCATCTACAGCCATACCTGTATGGTATGGTGGGGTTTGGAGTACACCTGTAAGAATAAGTGTGTGTATGCAGCTAAAGTTAATAATGAATCATAGAACCACAGCATATTCTGAGTTGGAAGGGACCCAAAGAGGATTACTGATTCAGCTCTTCAGGGAATGGCCCACATGGGGATGGAACCCAAAACCTTGGTGTTACGAGCACCATGGTCTAAAAAAAAACATGAGGCTGAAGATACTGGAAAATGGAACCATAGCTACAGATTGATGGATTGTCAGTGCAGAAATACTGCTTCATTTGGACAACACTCTTATTCAATGTAAATCACATTTTGAGGTCCCCAGATCACAGAAATACATAGAAGACAGGCTTCTTTCCAAGACTGGGGTCCACAAAAAAATGTGACATTTATTACATGAATCAGTAAGACTATCTTTCTGTCAAGATACAGACAGCCCATGATACTTCCCATTTCTGTGATCTGAGAATATCAAGAGGCATGTTCTTAAAAATGTGTATGCACATATATGTGTACACACACACACACTATGAACAAAATGCTCTATGCAAGAGAAATGCTGGATTGTGCTGCATTCCTGCTCTGAATCCTTTTTTCTCCAAAATCCATTTAAGATTAAGTAAACAGTAATACTGAAACATAAGTTATGCATATTATGGTTCGTATTCTATCAATAGAAAAAAGAAGATGGTTACAATAGGCAGATCTCAGAAAAGAGAAGCAGGGGGAAAGAGACACGGATGTGAAAAATAACCTCACCCCACACAAATCTGAATATACTTTTCTTCAGTTAGAAAGGAAGAAAACACAGGTTTGTAAGAGGTACACAAATACCTGAGAATTATTAACAGGTTCACCTTAATGCCTTTCAAAATTACTTCCAAGAACATCTATTTTGCTGTGTGGAACTTGACTTACAGCCAAGATTTGTAGTTTGGAATTCAGTTGTAACTAGGGTCAATGCTCAGTTTTTATAGCAACTTCAATGTGCATTTGAGGACTTTCTCCAAATATCCAAAATGAACTCATGTGCTTTGTTGTGTAGCAAGATCCTATGTGACACTTATGCAAAATGTTGTACAGATTAAATTTCACATTCATTCATTTCTCATATATAATGATGTATATTATACATTAATTATTTTCTTTTACAATGCAGTACTTGCTAGCACTTTTTCTTGACAGAAATTTTTCTGAAAAATTCACCTCTTCTCCAAACTCTAAGGAAATGAGAAGACAAAACAAAAGCTGCTATTCAGATGTGCAGAAATGGACAATCTATTAAAATGTAAGAGAAGAAATCCAGTGATGGAAGAATTGCATGCACATTTATTTGGAATCCATACACCACTACAGAAGGGTCTACAGATGGTTTACCCACAGTAATACCCACCAATACAACAGTTTACAAAAAGTTTACTTCAAGCACTTTCAGTTAGCACAATTACACAGAATAGTAACATAAAATCAGCATCAACTAATTTTTCATTTTGCAAAAGGATGAGTGGAAGTATTTAATTCTTATTTTGATCCATAGTTTGAGAGAAGCAGATGTGAAATTCTAATCAGTGACAGGAATGTACAAACAGAAGAAGAAAAATGTTCTCAATTCTTCACCAAACCTCCTGAATTTAGTGCTCAAGTCGGATCTCAAAATCAATTCAATTCTTACCCAACTTTCTAAAGCTAAAGGCATTATTACTTTGAAGGGTGTATAAATATGCATTCTAATCCCATACTAAATATGCTTACAAAAATGGATTTTACTCACTTCAGGCACTCAAGATTAATTTCTTATATAAAATTCAGGGGTGCAATTAATCTCATTAACTTCAAAAAGTCAGTTACCTAGCCTGAATTACTCCTTTAGGATCCCTAGGGAGGCAGATTCAGCACATCTATTTCATACCTGAAGGTTCCCCTCTTTCCCTGGTGAGTACAGGATTCTGAATACATGAATCCTTAGCTTGTGCAAGGGTAACTAAATTTAAGCGGGATGAATTCTGTAGCAGACAGCAGAGTGCACACAGAATGGCAAAAGAGACCCAGCTGTTGCTCCATGTTGCAGGTCAGAGTTAGAGAGAGGCATTGCTGCTCCCTAACAGCATGAAAATTATACTTCATAGCAAACACAATTTTCTCTTCTACAAATTACAGTGGCTGAAGCAGTAACAAAATGCATTTACTTTGTATTAATGTTATTAACTCTTAACTCTTTCCTAACTTTGAAAAATGGTAACCAGGCTGTTTACCTGTCAAAAGGGGCAGTACTGGCCCACAAAACGCCCTTTTGCCATATCCTTTGTTCATTGGATTCTATAAGTTATGAACTAGCAAATCCCACACAAAATCTCTCTCTTGAAAAAGCTCATTCATGAGTCTGTCAACAGGATTTCTACTGCTAAACACCATGTTCTTAACACAGTAGTGTCTCCCATTCAGGTATCAGGCCAAGACGTTATGTACAAACTTTGAATTGTTTAGGTACATTCTCTTTTAATATAAGGGTACTATTAAGATATAGCACCACTTTATTACAGGTATTATTTTGAAAGGGTAACTAAGTGGACATCAATACCAGAGAAGAACAGATCAAACAAGGAGCAGCATGGTCGCAATCCCAGCTTGAAACAGTGGTGCAAAATAAACAAATATGGTAAGGTCATGCATGTTTACCTTGCTCACAAGATGTGTGCAACCAAATGTCAACAAATTCCTGTGCTCAAAAGACAGCAAACATGCATGTTATCTTTTCTATGCCAAAACAGAATCACTAATAGCTCAAACTAAACCATTCCCTAATGATGAAATGTGTTCAGTAACATTAAACTTCTTAATAGCACTAAATGTATGCCTGTAGACATTAGCATGTGCACCACTAATGTGTTTGCTTTGTATTACACACACGTGCACACAGCAGTAGAGGTTTATAGTCAAATGTTCATGGCTCCACTCCTGGCTAGAATGGATGTGTAGCAGTTAACAGTACTGCGTCTTCACCTTTTTACACCACTGGATACTCAAAAACTAATTGCAGAGACTGAACTCACAGCAGTTACACACTTTCTGGAGACAAAGATTTATTAACTCCAGCAGCAAGTACTTCCTGGATACATTTCACGAATTTTCACTTGTTTTCTAGATTTCAGATAATTTTGCTCCTGGCAGTACAAAGACAGGTAAAACACTCAAATTTGTATAAGATTAGAAACTTGAAATAGGCACTGACTCTAGTTTTCTAAAAAATTATACAGGTATAGTACCACTTTTAATAGCTTGTAATTTCTATCCTGTGATTGTTTTAAATCCTTGAATACTTAAAACAGACAGCCAGCCTTAAAGAAATATATTTCTTGGTTTTACAGAGTTTCCTTGGTAAAGAAAAATGTATAAATATGCAGATGGAGAATTATACTAAGAGACATACATTATTTCTCTACCTCACAGCAACACAGAATGGAGGGACATTATTTGAGATGTACTACTGGGATAATAGGCTCACACAACTATTTAATAACCTCAAAAACTTAGTTTCCAGTACTGAACTCATACTGAAGATGATTTGCTAAAACTCCCATTTATAAGTAAGCTGTGGGTTCACTAGATAGGACTATACCACATTCAATGATGTTTCAGAGATTATCTAAGACTTTGAAAAATACACTTTCCATTAAAAGACTCTTTTAGACCTGGGTCTAGCTAGCCAGCAACCCAGGTAAACACAATATCGTATTCAGGAAGCACACAAGGATCAAGTAGAAACTAAAATCTAATCTTTTTCTG